TGTGTGTGTGTGTGTGGGGGGGGGGGGGGGATAAAAGGCGCTTCCCCTCCTTTCATCGTTTCTTTGCGGGTGCGCGTGTTTCGACCAGGAGACGTCGTCAACCAGCGGGTTCACAGGAGAAAGCTGACGATGCCGTGGGACCGTAGACGGGCAGAAGCGTGGAAGAGGAAGTTGAAAAGTGTTTGGAGTTGATGGTCTTTCTCTCTCTCTCTCTCTCTCTCTCTCGTGCATCGCTAGCCGCCTTGGCCCTTTTTCTCCACCCACGAGAGGAGAATGTACCGTTCAGGGCGAATAATCGGCGCCGTGGTACTTTAGGGCTTGGGTCTGCCCCACATCCCGTCCGTTGCAGGAACGTCTCACGAGGAAAGAGCGACTGGCTCTGATTGATCCGATTGTCGCGCCCAATCTTCTCTTTCCCTCCATCCTCATGATATTCCCTCGTCTCCGTTCCTCCTCGTCTCTTCCCTGATATGATCTACTATGGCTATTCAGCAGAATTACTGCGTCAGTATGCTGACCGGCCGAGCTCCCAGACTGCCCAGGGTAGTATCGCCACCGCTAGCCGATACGTGTACTCTGCCCGCATCGTCACTCCGTAGATTGATGATGCAGTGGGCAGCGATATATCGTGAGCAGATATCATCAGATGTAGTGGGCATGAAACACTCGTCTCCTATACAAACCCAAACACGACCCGACCCAATCCCCCCTCCCCGGTTTCGAATCATCTCCTGACCCTTCGACAGGTGAAACCGTTTAGTCAAGCGCCGCAAATCGTTGCACGCGCGCGACCGCAACTCAAAACGTCAGCGTTTGTGTGCGACCCTGTCTGTCTTCTGGATTGGACCGGCCGGCAATCACCATCTGCTTGACTGCTTGACCTGGCACTGGGAGGTTCGGTCACGAATTCATACTTCACATGAATGGGGGGGAAAGAAAAAAGAAAAAAAAAAAAATGTCCAAACAAAGGCAGTCGGCATAAAATTCACATGACATGACATCATCACCCCAAGGCAGACAGGTGCAGATAGATATATTATATATCCGTACCCGCTCGTAGAGGAAGAAGTCTTGTCTGCACACAGAGACCGTCAAACGCCGCATATGATGAACGGTTGACGGGTATTCCGATCCGGGGACGTAAGCCCTCAGGCCTCCGGGCAAGATCAGCATGACCGTCGCGGCCCCGTTCGTTTTGCAAGGGCTTAACGCATCTGATATCTGGGAGAGAGGAAGCCCGTAGTTTATACGGGAGTTTGACAATGTTTGGAGTCCTGAGGCCTAGGTCCCGGGACCGGAACAATCATTATACGGCGTTTGGGTCGTCATCTGTGCAAAACAATAGCCTTCGTTACATTCGGAATCACCTTTTCACGCGAAACAGACAAACAAAAAAAA